GGATGCTCTAATCCTCAGCGTGGACAGTTCGATTGGATTTTGGATTCAGGTGCATCTTTTCATTCGTCTCCAAATAAAGAGTTGTTCTGGAATTTCAAGTCTGGAAATTTCGAGAAGTTGTATCTTGCCGAAAACAAAGATTTGAAGATTAAAGGAAAAGGAGATGTCTGCATAAAAACTCCGGCAGGAAATCAGTGGACATTATAGGATGTCAGATATACTCCTGACCTAAAAAAGAACTTGATCTCTATTGGTCAGTTGGACAACACAGGTTATGCAACAAAGTTAGGGAAGAGTTCGTGGAAGATTATGAAGGGTGCTACGGTGGTAGCACGTGGCTCAAAATCTGGAACCTTATACACCACTGCAGGGTGTATGAACATAGCTGTTATAGCTGAGAGTGCTTCAAATTCAAGTCTGGCACAATAGACTTGGACATATAAGCGTGAAAGGAATGAAGACGCCGCGAAAGGAGTTTTAGATGGTCTGAAATCTGTTGATGTGGGTTGTTGTGAGAACTACGTTATGAGCAAGCAGAAACGAGTTAGCTTCACAAGGACCGCCAGAGAATTGAAGAAAGTGCGGTTGGAAATAGAACCATATGTGGAGCAAGGTTCGACGAAGCAAGTGGGAGTTGAGCTTGAGTTGCAGGAAAACTCACCTAGTGATGTTGTAGCAGATACTCGTGAAATTCCTGAGACTACTGCTGAGGAACCAGATGTGGAGCATGGTTCCAAGACAACGAAGCAAGTGGGAGTTGAGCTTGAGTTGCAAGAAAACTCACTTAGTGATGTTGTAGCAGATACTCACGAAACTCCTGAGACTATTGTTGAGGAACCAGATGTGGAACATAGTTCCAAGACAACGAAGCAAGTGGGAGTTGAGCTTGAGTTGCAGGAAAACTCACTTAGTGATGTTGTAGCAAATACTCATGAAACTTCTGAGACTATTGCTGAGGAACCAGATGTGGAGCAAGGTTCCAAGACCACGAAGAAAGTGGGAGTTGAACTTGAGTTGCAGGGAAACTCACTTAGTGATGTTGTAGCATATACTCAAGAAACTCCTGAGACTACTGCTGAGGAACGAGATGTGGAGCAAGGTTCCAAGACAACAAAGCAAGTGGGAGTTGAGGTTGAGTTGCGGAAAAAATCACCTAGTGATCTTGTAGCAGATACTCAACAAACTCCTGAGGTTGTTGCGGAGGAATCAGCAGTGAAGCAAGTGACACCTGAACCGGTGTTGAGAAGATCATCCAATACTATCAGAGTACCAAATATGTATGTACCTTCATTACACTATCTGTTGCTGATGAAAGGGAACCATAACCCTTTGAGGAGGCCCTACAGTTGGAGGATACAACCAAGTGGGAGCAAGCCATGGATGATGGGACGTCTAGGCTTCAAACATGCGTTGTATTGAGGCTGAGTACGTGGCAATAGATGAAGCTGAAAAGAAGATGATATGGATGACTGACTCTCTGGAAGATTTGAGCAAGAAGTAGCACGAAGAGATTCTTTATAGAGATAGTCAGAGTGTCATACAGTTGGCGAGGAACCCGGTCTATTATTTAAAGATAAAGCACGGAACGATACCATTTCACTTGTAGGTTAGTGGAAGATGGTGATGTGTTTTGAAAAGATAGAGGGTGCAAAGAATCTAGTAAACATGTTGACAAAATGTGTTGATGTTGGAATATTGAGGTTGTGCAAAACCTCAATTGGTATGGTTCAGTGAAGATAGTCATGATCGTTTGAGAATGAAATTCTTGGTTGACTGGATCAGTCTCCAAGTGGGAGAATTGTTAGGTTAAGGAGCCTTCTGAACGGTTATACATAGTAAAGTTATATTTGGTAAATGACATATAAAGTAAATTGTCATAAATAGTAAATAACTATGTATAGTAAAAAGCTATATATGGTAAATAATTATATATAGTAGATGGTTATATCTGGTGAAGCTAAATATAGTAAGCTAAACCATATATATATCCCTCTCGGGCAGAGCTTTGAAAATGTACTTTATGTATTCTCTGTATTCTCTCTTACTGTACATACTTGAAGTCATCAATGTAAATTCTTTGTGTTCATCTAGATCGAATGTATGCGTTGTTGTGCGATCCTAACAACCTACTCTCTGTCTTTCTCTCAAATGTTTCAGCAACTGTTCTTGCTCTCTACCATTTTCAACCATTCTTCGTTGTTTCTTTGCTTCTCCATCTTCGATTGAAGGTATGTTCATATTGTCGACTCCATTTCTAAAATTTAGGAGGGGTCAGAAAACTAGGGTTGTTTGTTAAACCAACATGAATTGTCTCCGAAATTTGTTTGTTGTCTAATAAATGGGGAAGTTGTCAAATTTTGTTTATCTGCGTATATAAGTGGTTTTTGTCGTTGTTTGAGCAATGGATTAGCCACTTTTTTATTGTTGTTGTATTTCAAATATTCGACAACTTGCTCACTCATTATACAATAATCAAATTTCAAAGATGATTCGTGTTGGTTCAACTTACAACCCTAGTTTTCAAAACCCTCCTAAATTTCAGAAATGGAGTTGACGGTATGAATAATATACCATGAATCAAAGATGGAGAAGCAATGCAACAATGAAGAACAATTGAAAGTGGTAGAGAGCAAGAATAGCTACTGAACTGTTTGAGAGGAAAAGCTGAAAGTTCGACGTTTTGGGGGTTTGGTGTTATTTTTATGGCAGGGGCAAAGAGGAAAATCCACCATTAAAAAAAAAAAAGTAAGAAAATCCCCACTTTTGAAAAACCCTGGTCATTTTGTGATAGAGATTGTTGTGGTATCTTTTTTAGTATAATGGTTACTTATTTATTGGCAGATGGTGAGGGGTCTTTTAGCTGTGTATGAATATATTATGATATGAAAGAATGATGCATTGTGGCTGGATCTTGCTTTTGTTAATTTATCATTGACTCTTTCTTTACACGCCTGTGCCATTTTTCTGGAGAACCCTTGAAATTGTCCCCTCCCCTTTAGTATGCCCTTTCTTTTTTTTTTTTTTTTCCCCTCTTGTTTCAACCGTTTCTATTTGGTGATATTCGCTGTTTCGATGATTAATTCTATAATTGTCACATTGTTTCTTTTCTTCTAGTCTATTGTTGACATCGACATTTGGTTTTCAAATGCTTTTTGGTTGACTCATTCTTTTCCGCAGCATTGCTAAAACAACCCAACTTTTCTCCTGCACCGGCAAGTTATTTATTATACACACCACGAGTATGATCGACATGTCAGTAGCTTTCTTTCAGGAACAGTTGACTGCAACAGCCAAGAGAACATATTAGTGTGGGAAAGATTTACCAGGCCATCAATTATCTTTGGTGTATCATTGGAGGAGATGATGGGTGGTGAAAGATCGTCTTCCACGGTATTTTTCTACTCCTCTCTCCCCTCCCACATCGATTAGCTTCAGTATATTCGTGCCAAATTTTCTTTTGTAGAATGTACAACACAGATGGAAAGCAACTTGAAATGTTGCTTGAGGTCTTAAAGGGTGGTTTGGTTTGGTTTGGTTTGATTTGGTTTGGTTTGGTTTGGTTTGATTTGGTTTGGTTTGGTTTGGTTTGATTTGGTTTGGTTTATGATGATAGCTGCATTTACCATTTCATCATTTGTCAAGAAAAGCATCAATTTGAACTATTTTCCCTGCGTAGGTGATGAAACTTCTGAAATTATATGCCAATGAGAAATACATCCTCATGCTGAACTCACAAGGCAAAGACTTAAAAGTATTTGTTTCCTTTAAGGTATTCATGAAACCAATTCTCATGAAAAATTTTGAGGATTATTTGCTTGTAATGTACTGGCTAGTGGCTAACTCCTAAAAACTTCTTTACAGGTGGGTGCCTCTAGCATGTCAGTCTTACGAAGTATTTGGCAGACTTACTGGCTGGACAAGCACTGGGATAGCACAGAGGGCGTTGTCGATCAGCTTGCACGAAGCCTATCAGAAATGGAAGATAAGTTTAATGACTTTATGCAACTGTTGGAGGGAGGTGGATGGGATACACATCAATTGAGTTTGAAGGTACCAAACAACGTCTTAATCGATTTTTGTTAATTAATCTTGCACTTCTTGTACCTTCGAGGTTTCAAGGGTTCATAAATTTGAGAAGTTTCTGCATCTCTACTATTACGCTTAAAATCAACATCCTACCTCTACCCCAAGTCTAAGGAAGAATTATTGGTTAGAAGAAAGAATTAGGATTGGCATAGGTGCCATGGATGAAATACTAGAGGCATAGGTGCCGACCATATATGTTCCTATTTTGATAGGAAACGATATATCAGTATTGAGATCTTTTCAGAACCCTATTTCTTGGAAATATGGTCTTGGCCAATTTTGTGTGATCTAATTCGATGCCTCATCCCCTTTTCTTTTTATTAAATTACAAATTTATACCATCAACTTTATTGTGAGTCTAATAAGCCTTTAAAATTTAAAAATATCTAATATCACCGACTTGAACATAAACTCAATTGATTAAAACATATATCATTGACCTACAAATTAGAAGTTAAAACTGGGATTTTGCATTCTAGTCGAGGATGGAAGGATTTCTCCTACCATATATACTTATCTTGCTTTTGTTGTTGTACATGTATACGCAAGTTATTAGACAAACATTTTGTCTTGTATGCATCTAATAAATACAAAAAGTTTAGGTATTCTTACCATTTTTGTCTCATTTTTTTTATTGTAAGAGATGATGTATATATGTTTTGAGATATTTTAGTGAGCAGTCTCCTTTGAAATGTGTTTAAAGAGAAGTATACATCATTTTCTATAAATAATAATTGTTAATATAGAGAATATTTAGATTAAATTAAAAAATTTAGCAAAGGAAGTTCGAATGCTTTTCTTTAGTTTTAGCCGTTGTAATTTGTCCATATTGTCCTTATAATCTGATAAAACCTTCCTATAAATAGCCTCAATAATAAGACTGATTATGAGAATTTAAGAACTATTTATGAAAGTTAAGTACAGCTTTCAAAAGGATGTATTTGATAATTTTATGTTGGTTATCAAGAGGCCAGAACACCCCAGAAAGATTTTAACAATGTATAATGACAAAAGCGATGCTAGTGGTCGAAGAGATACCTCGGAAGTGCCATAGGACATTTCCCATTTTGCACACACAAAAGAACAGAAAGCACGCAAATTCTAAACATATGAACATACATGAGCTGATCCCTCCCTCGATTTCGATCGGCCATTCCAATTGTCAGAAAGATGCTTTCAATTTAGTCATCGTCTTCCTCATCGTCATCATCTTCCTCCGTGTTGTCATCATCTTCATGCTCCTGCCAATAATTGAGTAATTAACATAATTTAGATACAGGAAAGGAAGGTGACCTGTGGGAGGTCGAACCTCTAACCTGAACCTCTAACTTCTCTGCTCAGGTTGCTTCTCATAATTTCATTAATGTACACATACAGAATACCCTATAATCTTAATTTGCTTATTATGAGCTGAAATAAACGCAAACAGTCTTTATACAGGCACTGAAGCCATTTGCGTATATGTCAAAAATACCTCCTCACTGGCCTCATCCTCGTCATTCACTTCAGATTTCGACCTCTCCGATTCTTCGTCTTCTGCTGCGCTAGCCTATTCCCAGATAAAAGGGTATAAAAGAGTGTATAAGTATGAGAACGCTACCTTAGTGGTCACGTTGCTTTATAACGTGATCTATACACAAAAATATAGAGCACCACACCTACCTTCTTGTCATATGCCTTCATAAGCTTTTCATATTCGGCCTTCCTCTTTGCCGCCTTGGCTTCATATGGTGCTCTTTCCTTTTACATCAGGAAGGCATTAAATGAGAAAAACCCAACCAGTAAAACACTGATAAATCCAAAAGGCAAGATAAAGAGTTCGCCTGCTTCCATTTTTATGTAATACACAATATTACTTACAGACTGACTCAAGGATTTCCACTTCTGTCCTCCAGCTTTTCCGACCTGCAAGCGTGGAGCAAATGTTAACAATTTATCCTATATTTTCATCTCACGTTGTGTAAATCTTAACAACAATTTCAGCGATCACATACTGCAGACACAGACTTCACATTAGGATTTTCCCTTTTGTATTCCTTTCTGAAGTCCTCGCTGTTACATAAAATGTCAACAAATAAGAAAAATTCTTCCTAGAAGAAATCAAACAAATAGGTTTTAGCCTGAAAACAAAACAGTAAACGACGAATACGAACAGGAAAACAAAGAAAGCACTCGAAGGCCTCTTAGGTTTGTTGGGATCTTTCTTGGCCTTCAAATCTTTCTTTGTGGGCCGTTTGATTCCCTTATCGGCCTTGACAGCAGCCTTTCGCTTCCCAACCTTTCTGTAAAGAATTAGATATATTTATGATCCGTCACTACAAAATTCCTGTAAACACTGTGTACACCACCAAGTATGTGAATATTAAACATCAATAGAACTCATTAAACTAGCTGGAAAACACTTATTTCATACCTAACAATATACAAGGATTTATTTCATCAAACCAATAAGATATGAGATTTGTAGAGGAACAATGAGCAAAACACTACCTATCATCCACTGGTTTCAAAGCTTCTTTCGAGACCTTTGATGTTCTCTTGCCCTTGGACCCCTTCATTCTGCAAGGCAAATACCTGTTGAAAATAATTACAGTGTTAATGATACGCCAAGTTATTACAAGTCCAATAGTTCATAAAACAACAACCTACATGATAAGAATCACGACAAGAACAAGTTGAGGCAAAATAAGAAAGATCAGTACCTCAAACAGTCCAGACAAGGATCAATAAAACAAGATATCTAACATAAAATGCATGCCAAAAAGTGCAGAAATGCAGTGAAAGCAACCTCTAGAAACCATTCTTACAAAAGTCAAAGGAACACTATATGATAAGTAATAATTTATGAACATCCAGAAGCAAACAAATCGAGAAGTACATATTTGACCTTAAAGAGACTAGAATCCCTAAATTTCAATTGTAAAAGCCATCTCTCCAAAATTGATGAACTATAATCAACCAGCTACAGGAAATTCACAGTTAAAACTACATACAACAAGGAAAAGTGAACTCTAACAGATTCCTGCGTATTTCAGCCATGAAAAATCGACAGTTTAATCGCTAACAGAGCAGATACTGAAAAATAAACCTAAAATGTAATTGAGTCAACACAACTACTTCAATTCTACTACCTCTTTCTTCAGCTCACTCCTTCGTTGAAGTTGTTAAACAACTCCAGTACCAATTATTAAGACTCTAAACAATAGAAAACACAACAAATAAGTTCAACAAAGACAATATTCCACAAATTAGATGAAACCTTGAGAACGCAACAAATCGGTTTCAATCGAATTTTGCAGGCAAAACAAATAGAAGTAGATGAAAAAAGTGGAACAACCAAGTATAAACAGAGAAGAAAAGAGAAGAGATCTAGAAAGACGAGAATCGATTACCTTCGAGGAACCAAGCCGTCCGATCCAAAAGGAATCGGAAAGGAAACAGAGAATCAATACCAGAGATTTTCCAAAGACCGAGAGAGAAAGAAGAGCTGAGAAAGAACCAGGGGTTGAATTCGAACCCGTGGAGAGGAGGAAATTGATTAGAGCAACCTGAACTACCGGTAACACTTGCCTCTATTGCCGCCACACGAACCCACCAAGAGCGACCTCTTACCGGCTATACCCGGTGACCGACAAACAATTAAAATAAATAAATAAGGAAGAAAGAAAGAATATATGAATATGATCGCAAAGGAATTATCTTTTGGGTTTTGTGGAAATGATGATTGCCGCCGAAGCGATTCCATACAGACAATGACAAAGAGAGATATTATTTAGTCGCACGTGCTACCTCTCACACGTGTGTGATTTGGGCCTCCAGCCCAGTTCTCTCCCACGGTTTCACTCGTGTAAAATTTTGGGCGCACGGCCCAGGTAACGCCGCCTTTTTCGAATCTTTTGGGCCATCAAACAGTCGGCCCATGGGCCATGGCCCATGTATTTTTTGTTTTTTTCTATTATATTATTGATCGGGGAATTTGTGAGATATTATTTTAAATAATTTCGGTATTTTTTCAATTTAGTCCCCATTTCATACTCTGCCCAATATAAATATAGTTTCAACACATATTAAAAATAATATATATATAATATAATTCCGTTAATTTTGTCATTCTCACTAAGTCGTTTTAAGTCACTGTCATGTTTACTTGAGTATGACTCAACTGATTAAAATATATTCACCAATCGAAAATTCTTTCTATTAAATAATAATAATAATAATAAAATCATGTTCATTAGATCAAATTAATGTAACCAGCATATTTCGATTATGAAAAATAAAGCATAATAACACCAATAGAAAAAGAATGGTCCGATATCACCAACATACCTCACTAACCTCATACCCGTGCACTTAAAAAAGGCAAAACACTCATTACTAGCTACGAACTTCGAGACGGTCTAGAAATTGAAAGAGGGTAGAAAAGAAAGGTTTGTTGCCTTTAGAATGGTGGCCAATGCACTTTAGAATGGTGCCCAATCTTGCATTGCATAAGTAAGATGTTGACTAAGATATGCAAATAGGAATGTCTCTTTCATTTACAGACACATTTGATCACTATGAGTTCTCTCTGTCTTTGTCTGCCATAAACCCTCCAATCCCCATTACCCACTCAAAATCTAGTGCCTTTCCAATATATTCCTATTTTATTCGTATCATCTTTCGAACTTAGGTTTTAATACAAATTTATATTTCAAGAAATTTAGTTTAGCGTAGCGATCTTGTGAGATCCCATATCGGTTGGAAGCAAAACGAACCATCCTTTATAAGGGTATAAAAATCTCCTCTTAGCAGACGCGTTTTAAAAATTTTGAAGGGAAACTAAAAAAGAAAAGTCTAAATAGGACAATATCTGTTAACGATGGATTTCGACAAATAGTTGACCCTAATTTAACATGAACTAATAATTTAATACAATAATCAAAAGATTTTTGAGTTTAAACTTAATATTTATTTTCACGTACCATAAAGTCTTCTAGAAAAATTTATGAATCAAAATAGATATTTCGAAGGTCCACTAAATAAACATTAGGTTATAAACTCAAAAGTAATTCATTCCATGCCGTGTTATTATTTGTAGCCAAAAGTGGAGAAAAAGAAGGAAGAATGATGATTTGATTACGATATCTCATTTGGGTATTTGGGTATTTAGTCCAAGAGGTTGTCGATGAGTTTAGTGGAAAAAGGAAGAAAGGAGAAATCAATAGTCATCGAAGAGTTATGGTCATAAAATACGAAAGTTACAAGCTCTAGAAATGCCCATAGAAAGTAAGGGTTTCATTTTGAAGCTATGTAAAGTTATGAACGTTATCTTTGCAAGTAAACTTGGAAAATGTAGTAAAAAGAGTATTTTTACTATCCTTCAGCCCAAAGTTAGTTTTTTTATGCAATTATATGTAGTTTAGATTGCAGGTTTAGAATATATGATCGATCTTAATGGTAGAGTGACTTGAAATCTCAAACAAGCGTTTACATTCAATCAACATAATCTGAATCTTACTTTCTTTTGTAGTAATTTTTTATCATATGATTCGATTTTAAATCGTCAGTCGATTAATTTATTGATATTAATATTCCCCTTAAAATTTGTACGACAAAAATTCAAACTCGAGTATAAAAAATGTGAATTCAAACGATAAAAAAAATACTATTTTAAAAAAAAATGTGAATTCTTAATATAAACAAACTATAATTGGTAATAAGTTTAATTTCCATTATATTTCATAAAAATAAAATTGAAAGCTACAACTAAAAGCATGGCATGATGTAAAATTCTAAAAAGGGTAGGGGTGCCACGTGGAGAAATAATAGGTAGCTTACGTGGCAGGAGAATGAGCAATAAGGGAGTGGTTGGCTTTGTTGGGCAGCTGTGTTTTTGGTCTATAGGACTGTAAGCACGTGACAAGCACGAGGGCCCCTCCGTCAGAATGTTTGTCTCCCAATCCCTCCAAAAATCCACTTCCAACTTATTGAGTCGCCATTAAATGCTTTCACAAGAAGTATCACTTGTATCCCCAAAATACCCCTTATTCCACCATCAAATTACATTGTCAACCTTATAGTTTAGGGGGAACTTACCTGGTTTGAGAAGGGTGGGTCGGTAATTTCATCCCTAAGAATGTAATAGCCATGGGACCTAGTGTGGAAGATGGGGGTAGTCACTCCACACCTACGAGATAATACCACCTTAAAAAAGAAAAAAGAAAACTCGAGACTCATCGCTAACATATATTATCTTCTTTTGATTTTTTCTTCCGAGTTTTTCCTTAAAGTTTTAAAACGCGCCCGTTATGGAGAGATTTTCACACCCTTACAAGAAATGTTTTGTTCTCATATTCAATCGATATGTAATCTCACAATACACCTTCTCGAAGGCTTATAAGTATCCACCACAAACCTACCAAAGGGAGCTATGGTGGGTTCTAGCTCCTCCCGACTCTCTTTGTCGAACACATTTCGTTTATAATATTCGATAGTCACGCCTTCTTAGACTTATAGTGTCTGAATCTATATAGAGTAGTAGAGTAGAAAGCCGTAAAACCTAAATTTTTATATTTCATACCAGATTTTCAAATATTAATAAAGATTATTTATCATACAATCTAAAAAACGAATATTTTGAAGTAAAATTTTGAACGCTTTTTATATTCCCGACCCAAAGGAACATCGTCACATGGAGAATAGTATAGTTTTTAATGAGTTTTTTTTGTGTGTGTGGGTATGCATTAATTTTTGAAGTCCAATAATACGACCAAATTCAATTGCCTAGGAATCAATTTCTTTAGCTACTACCACCTTTGTACACCAATGTTTTTTACTTCCATGTTTATTTTCCAATTAATTATTTGGATTCCATAAATATATTTAACATCATTTTTATAACGGCCCAAATTTACCGTCCTTTTGAGCTTTTCTCTTTCGGGCTTTCTTCAAAGAATCAGGTGTTCCAAATGAAACTATTACACGATCTCCAAAAGAATAAAAAATGTCAAGAACAAGGTTCAAACCTACACAGGCTAGATTTCAAGTTTATCTTTTTAGTCACTCAAACATATCAACGTTTATTAAAATATTTTATAATTTTTTAGTCCATGAATAATATAATGGTCAAAGGGTCTTTTTGGATCGTTGTGACTCAATTTAAAACAAGTTTTCAAATATTGCTTCTACACAGAGGTTTCCAAATCTTACTACTACTCAATTTAAAACAACAATGTTTCTACTAAATTTAAAACAACAACGTTTCCAAATCTTGCTTCTAGATCCTCGATCGTAAGAGTTAATCTAATTCTAAACTTCTTTCTTGGTTGATTCAAATTTTGTATGAGAAGGTGTTAATTAATTTGTTTCAAGGACCTTTAACAAAAGCTTGGATCATTGGGCTGAGAAGTTTCTACGCCTTATAAAAAAAAACTTGGATCGTTGGCCGAGAGGTTTTTACCGCTAATAAAAAAATGTTTCGTTGGGCTGAGAGGTTTCTACCGCTTATAAAAAATGTTTTGTTGGGCTTATAAGTTTTTACGGCTTATAAAAAAATGTTTCTCCTTCCCATCGAAATTATATCTCATAATTTTCTTAACCAAAAAAAATTGAATATTATTATCGAGATTGAAAATTATTCAAACCAATAATAAGGATGATTTTATAAAAAAAATTCATTGTAAAAAATAATATTGAATAGTTAAATATGAAAAGTTTTTCACATTTATTAAAATATTAAAAAAAAAGTTAATAATAAACGTTATTTTTCAAATTTTTAATTATTAAAAAAAAAAAACGAAAGGAAACATGGCCATGCCCTACATGGCTGCATGACAAGGAACAGTCGGTTATTAGATTCGGATTTTTTAAGATTTTATTGTATTTTCAAAATTAGTTTTTGAAGAGAAAAGAGCATTTTTCTTTTTCTTTTTTAAAAAATGATAAATTCATCGTAAAATAATATTTTAAGGCACGTATGTAACAAAAAGAAAATAATAAAAAATGGTCCGTTTAAAATGTTTTTTTTTTAATTATTTTCTAAAACTAAAAACTAATTTTACTTGCCAACTTAATTTTTTTTAATTTATTACAAATGACCAAAATATTGACATATATATATTATTATCATTATTAGTTATTTATTTATTTATTATTATTATTATTTTAGTAAGAAAGTGTTGGGCGATTATATATATAATTATATAGAGATACGATTCAAAGGTCTCAACCACTCTCCCTTTCCAATCCATATTCCAATGTCGGGAGAAAAGTTCAATATGGTATAGTCGAAGTAGACGTCTCTTGTGTGTGTGGAAAAAGAGGAAGAGCTTGATTTGCCATATGCTAACCGTTTAAGGTCATCTCTCCAACCAATAGCTCAAGACTGAATCTATCAATAGCATCTTCCTCTACTATCTATCTATATATATATATACACACTTATGGTTTTATTGTTCCTCTTTCAAATAGGGTTAAAAAAGGGTCAGATCTGAGCTTCTCTTATAACTCATTGGATTGCAGGTATGTGAAATGCACACCTCTCATGTGCTCGGTTTGAGCTAAGGCAAACGTTCGAGCCTCTTCACTTGGACCCAAGCTTGCCCTGAATT